GAGCAGGGAGCCAATAAGAATAGAAGGGGGAGGTGTGGCGAGAAAGGAATTTTGAGGGACAGGACACCTTCCTTAGACTGCACGGGGAATAGAAGTCAAAGTTAGAGGCGAATACAAGGCGTTCAAAAGCTTGGCCCCCATTGCACACACATTAAAAAAAACGGTACTTTGGCTGAGAAAGAGACCAATTCTTTTGTTGGGTTCCTTTGTCCAGCCTCCCCTTAACAATAAAAACATTCGAGGCTTGGCAGAGGATTAGACGCCGCTATCTTTCGTTACGCTTGAGTGAACAACAACGGGGAGAATTGAGGCAGAAAATCTCGAAAAACTCGCCATTAACAGCATCTTTGGCAACAAAATGATACTTTTTGCAGAGGAAATTACATAATAAATCTAACTATAGTTTCAAAATTTCAAAATTCTCCCGAATAAAAAAGTTGGCTTTTCAGGACTGGCTGGTTCCACGCTAAAACTTTCTCCCACCCGCCGATGGTGGCGCTATAACATTGAAAGTCACGGCGCCTGGGCCGTGCATTACGCACGTAGCAATGGGAACCACCGATATGGCTGTTTCTGTAGTACAGCGCACGCCATATAATTGTGCACAATGCGCATGTCTGGTGGAAACGCCGAAATGGCCAATTTTGTAGCTCGCTGTGCTGTATATACGTGTGCACAATCGGCCAAGTACAGAAATGGCCATATCGGCGGTCCAAATCGGATTTTCCTTACGGTCCAAAAAGCTGGTTGCCCGTTTTTGCGTGATGTTTGGCTTGCATAGGCGGGAACCAGTATCGCGTGGTATAAAATGCCGTGTATATTACTAAAAAATAGCAAAAAGTCTTTGCCCGTGAGGAAAAGGAACAAATCATATTCAAGTGCAACCTTAGAAAGTGTGACCGATGGATTAGAAAGGATTTTGTTCATGGAAAATATACAAGGATAGAATGTTTAGGATTTTTAAAAACAGAGATTGAAACCGGGTGGCAGGGGCTGAACATTGTCGGAAAGTACTACAGAGCCCCCGAGAAAAGAGGATTCTTGAGGAAAAACATAAAAATGAAAAATATAAAAACATTGGGAAAATGTGTATAAAAAGATAATATCTATTTGAAAATTTCATATGAAAGTTTACAAATGAAATTGCGAATTTGTTTTCTCGACAGCACAGCGTATGCTGATATACACACGTAAACATGTACAGCTTCACTGCATGCTCTCGAACTGAGGTGGACTTTCAATGTTATAGCGCCACCAACGTCGGGTGGGAGAAAGTTTTAGCGTGGAACCAGCCAGTCCTGAAAAGCCAACTTTTTTATTCGGGCGAATTTTGGAATTTTGAAACTATAGTTAGATTTGTTATGTAATTTCCTCTGCAAAAAGTATCATTTTGTTGCCTGAAATGCTTTAAAAGGCGAGTTTTTCGAGATTTTCTGCTTCAATTCTCCCCTTTGTTGTTCACTCAAGCGTAACGAAAGATAGCGGCGTCTAATCCTCTCCCAAGCCTCGAATCTTTTTATTGTTAAGGGGAGACTGAACAAAAGAATCCAACAAAAGAATTGGTCTCTTTCTCAGCCAAAGTACCGTTCTTTTAACGTGTATGCAATGAGAGNATACAAATATCATGCGCAGTTCGCACTTTCATTTTGGTAGCATTCCCCTTAAAGCCTTACTAATTTCAATTTCCCTTAGAATAAGTCCCCCCCTAAAATCAAAATTGGTAGCTATTAAATTAACCTTAAACATAATTCTGCCAAGGATCAATTTATATCAAAATAAATGGTGTAAAGTTCCCTGTGCGGACGTCACCTAATGTCGATACCCTGTGCAAAACCCTATGAGTATGAGAAAGGGCTGAAATATTCGTAGTATTTTCCAAGTAAAAGTACTTGCTTCAACAGTGTCACTGTTGGAAAAGACTGTTGCGACACATTATCATTGTTGTATGGCTAGCAAATACCCCAAGGGCAAATTATTGATGTCCGTAAATGGAACTCTTACCGAAATTGCCATAAAATACAGTACAATGAATTGAAGAGACTTGATATCAAATTCATCCACTTTCACTGTTTTATTACAAACTCACTGGCTCAATGCCAGCACTGTGAAATTTGTTCTTTACAAAACTACAACAGTTGGAAAATGCTAAACAACGTGTCTCTGATTTCAAAGACCACCATTCTTGCACAGAAAGGTCCCCTTTTCTCCAAATTCAACTTGCAAACAAACGCACCAAGTGTTTCTGAACATAAACAGCTCCGGAACGTGGAATTCATAATTTAACATTTTTCCCACTATTCTTAGCCAACAGCAGAAGAAAGTTGCAGTCGAAGATTTGCAGCCTTTCTCTAGTCTTGAAGGCTGTGATGCTGAAGCCGTGAGAGGGACAAACTGACATACTAGGCTGCCTGGAGACATCTTGTGTCACAAGGTCAACCAGCTAACGTCTAAGGAACCCAAGGCTGCCGGGGACATCTTGGGTTCTGTCTTGTAATAACCAGACATGGATGACTTGGTCCGACCAGATGAGCACGCTACCAGAGGGAACAAATGATAAAGTGTTAAACGTATCCAATTGCAATCTCCAAGTGAAAGCTACTGCAAGCTATTTGAAGTGAATGGTTCTCGGCAAAACCTATGTCAGGACTCTGCAATTTCATTATCTAAAAATGAAGAAATTGAAAATGGAACTCCACCGTGAACTCCAAACGTACAGACTGAATTCCTAGCTATTTGCAAGCACATACTTGCTGATTAAACTTTGAAATGTTAAACAAGATAAAAAACAGTTTGTTTCTTTTGAAAGAACATTGCACTCCAAGTGTGGCAGCTCCTTTTAATGAGACCCCAAATCACCCATTTCTAGTCAAACAGCAACTGTTACCCTATCACTGTTACGTTTATTAATAGTCTTGATGAATTTCCATCACTTTTGAAATTCCAAACAAGATACTGCATTTCAATGTCTCGCTTAGTGCTTTTATGCTTTTGTTGGACGAAATAATTTCCTCAGGCCGCGACATGGGCGGCAACCCCGGGGGGGACACACGCCCCCCATGAATTTGGTATGGGACACAATGTTGAATGTCCCCTCCATGTTTTAAGCAAAACAAAATACTTACGGAATGGATGGATATGGATCAAGAATTTTCCCTTTTGAGTTCTTATAAATGGAATAAGATAATAAACATGATGTGCACAAAAAAGTGTAAATTGATGTCCCCCCCAAGATCGAGGAGAGATTCTGGCCCATGGGCCACGAGGTCACTTTTGTATTTGTTGAAATGAAATCTTTTTTTCCTGAAACTGAAATGAAAGAATCTTGAGCCTGATCCAATTATTTGAGCAGGGGAGTTTTGCCAGCTAAACTTTGAAATTAAATTGTCCGTCTCCAAGTTCTTCCCTCGTGAGTTTATCGATTACTTCAAATTAGGAACTGCCAATCCTTTGAGAAAGTGCACTGTTGCCTTTATATCTACAAGAATAAAGCAGGAATAATTCTGATTACAAGTCTGAAATGATGTCCCAACTTTGTTATGCTTTCAGGCAAGTTTTAGCAGCCTTAAAGAGTGCAGCACCACGTGTTTGAAGCTTTAAACAACAAAATTATTCAGACTCTAGGCAGGTGGCACAATTTAAGAGCATCATTCCTTACCTTGTCATGTGACCTCTGATGGCCAATAAATCTTCCACAGGTGTTTCTGTGACCTGAAGAATGTGTCACTTTTCATTGCTGCATATAAAAAATTTAG